GGGGGGGGGGGGGGAAAGCAGCAAACAATTTGTGCACGAGCCGTCTAAGACTGCTTGTCAACGCAGATTTTATATGGGAGGAAATTCTTAAACACAATCGATGGAAACTAGTTAATGCCCGGCAAACGTGTTGGTCAAACTTTATGTGAAAAAGACAGTAAAAGGCGAAGGAAAAAAAACAGCTAGCAAGCTGCCCTTACTTGTCAATTGTGGGCTGGTCATATGTCAGCCGCCCGCTTTCCTCGCCCGCATTTGTTTTGCAAGCAGTCGTGCATGCATTTGCGGCACGGATTACTTTACACGTCCTGCAAATATGTATATACACCTGCGTTCAACTAATTAGAAACGAAATGCAAAATGATATTGTTTGCAAATTATGTTTATTTTTTTATTTTTAATAATTTCCATTTAAAATTTAGTTCAATCTGTAACAGAAACCACAATGATGAAAGTTTCAAAGCTTGGAAATATTAAAAGTTTGGCTTTACGGAGCATTAATAACGTTTCCAAAACATTAAAAATTCGTGTTATTCTTGCCCATGTTAGAGAAGGTTTGCAGCATATAGATAATAATAAAGGGACCATAAAACCACTACTAACTACTAACAAGCTTTTTATGCACAATAGGTCTTGAGAATACTTTCATATTCCAATAATACTCAAATTTTAGCTTCAAAACAATTTTCGTAGTGTAACAGACCCTAGGGTTGCATCTAATTCAAATATGAAATATGTACACATGTGTATATAATTTATGTATATGTATATTTATGTAATATATGTATGTTTATATACACATATATAGTATATATAATAACCTTTATATACTATTTGTATACGATTCCTGCATTGTTAGGGTGATAAATATTAGTCAAAACAAGGATTATTGCGTAAAATATAAAAATGCGAGTATCTCGAAAAAAGGATCAGCCACGATTTTGATCTCGATGGATTTTAAGCCTACAAATGATGTAGAAAAAGGCTGTGAAAGCCGATTTGAGACACACTTTTATAAAACTTAAGACTGGTTCAAAAGGGAAAAAGGGGCGTGTCACCTCTCATACAAACCGGATATTTTATACTGCATATTTCTGGAAGTGTTCATGGTAGAGTACTCGAAGATGGCATGGAGATATATGAAATCAATCCCATACTTTTAAGGAAATTTGGGGCCATCTTAAAAGGGGGCGTAGTGCCTTTCAAACGCACTGAAGCTATTACATATCTTTGTAGGCATATACGGTTTCGCTAGGTTATTTAAGATGGCAATGGAAATATGCCTTCCGACAACCACCAAGCCGTAATATTAGAAGATAAATGCGTCACTGAAAATCATGAACGCGAACTGTTGGTGAAAATGTTGGACCAAAATGTTTCAATACAAAAAATTTATTTTGGGCGGCACGAAGTTCGCCGGCTCTTCTAGTATAAGTATATTTATTTTTATTTCTATATTTTGTCTAGTCACTCAGGCACTCATAAGCGTGTTATCCGCCCAGAAAACAAAAAGAATAGAAAACAGTAAAACAGATTAAACAACGCAAAATTTGGGATGCGTAGGTACTTTCTATTTTTAGCGGGATATTCCCGCGATTAGATACAAAGATACAGAATGGTCAAAGTGACCTTGGACTTTTAGACGTACTTTGATCATCAATATTTGTATGCAAATATGTGAAGGCGTCTTGTTGTTTATTTAGTTTTAAATTATATCTGCATAACACAATGGAAGTGTATGCGCAGCAGTATAGTTAGGTATTTAGATTTAAGTCATTATGTAAAAGTAAAGATCGCTACTTTATAGCGTTTGATTTTCTAAGGGAAATTAGATGGGCTCACTTCGATCGGGTATGCAAAACCTCGTATATGCCCATATATATAATTACAATAAAGCAGACGACGATAATAACCTAATAACAAAAGGAGATTTCAACCAAAGCTCGCAACCTGCTGTTTATATGTAATCTACAAAACCTGCGATAAGACCATCGTTAGTATTTAAAACTTTATTCCACTCTATATGCCTTACAGATGAATAATAATGTACACGCTATTATGATAATGATGAAATCAAAGCCAAGCTACGACGCGAAAAATTGTGCATGATTCGATGCACACCTCAAGTATTGCAAAATTTTAAGCAAATCGGATAGTCAGTTTCTGAGTTTATCGTGGACAACAACGTGCCACAAGAATTGTACATACATAATACGTACTACATAGATGATAAAATTTTTTTAAATGAAAAAAAAAAATCCGCGACACCCTCCATAAAAAAAAAGAAATAAAAAAAAAAATCAACGGCAATTTTTAACGACTTGAGACTTGCACTTTCTTACACTACAGCAGAATGGGCTACAGAACTGCATACCGGATAATTTTTTAAATATTCTGCTTAAAAATTTGGGAATTTTGATGACAATTTTTTGAAGTTTGATTATTTTTTTTGCAATTTTCGCAATCTTTGAAACTACTATTATTGTGGTTACTGTTACAGATTGAACTATATTTTAAATGACAATTAGGAAAAAATAAAAAATTATCATAATTTGTAAACAATATCATTTGAATTTCGTTTCTAATCAGTTGAACGCAGGTGTACTTTGCTACCAAACCTACTTATGCATTTGTCAGCGTATGCATCTAGTTTAGCAGTGGCATGCTGTTGGTCGGTTAGCCACCGCTACTATAAAAATTCATAAATTGTTAACGAGCTGTCATAGCTGATGGTCGCCATCCAACGTCGGTAGCCTTTGCAGTCATTTGCCAGCAAAGTTGCGGCCACTTTGCATCGTTAAGTCCTCCTTCCGGTCTGTAGCTGATACGATATCCATTGCAGCTATTTGCGTTCGACATCGCGATTTTATATGAATTTACACGTTGCTTAATCTGTTTGCTTCGGTGTAAAAGGCCACGGATTTTGCTATCTTCTGGGTAAAGAGAAATTGAAATCTTTACTTAAAGACTAAAGAGTTTTGTAACAGCTATTAAGTTTAAAGCGGTGATGGGCACTGCCTTGCCCGCGGGCAAAGCTCTTTTAAGCTTTCTATAATTTTGTATAGGCGCGTCGCGAGGCAAAAGCCTCCATGCGCATCGTGATTTAAAGCCATCAATTGTATTTAGTTCATCATTCTAAATGAGCATATATTTTTCGATACTGTAATTTTTGGTATAGACAAACACTCTATCGATCACGATAACGATTTTTATCATGGTGGATACTATATATATATATATGCCAATAACAATATTTTTTTATCGATAACCACAATTATACATACGTACAACGATAAAGAAGCAGAGACTGGTAAAGTATAGTTACCAAAAACGACTATGCTGTAAACGATACTCAATATTTTGTAGACCTCAATGACGCATTATTTACTTTTATCAATTACGATGGCTGCGTTTCTTTATACATTCCGGATAATCCCATTTCACAGCCGGAATAAACAGAATGCGTTTGAAATATACGTCACCATATCATCAGGAACGTTCTAAAGAATAAATAAACAGAAAAGTTTATTCCAAACGTTCAGAATGAATAAAGAAATTCAGCCGATATCTAATATAAAAAATTACAATATCAATAAAAACAAGACTAGGGCTACCGATAGCTTTACCGTAGCCAACAACTTACCGATAAACGATATTTTTCTATTTTTAACGATTCTACCGATAATATAAAAAACGATACATATGTTCATATATCAATAAAATCTATAGAATGCGCTTATTTTACTTTCTTAATTTTCTTTTCCCAAGGTCATTAAGTCGGTGATCTCTTTATTGCGTTACTATGGCTGGAAGAAATTCTCCATTTTGCATGACGAGCTGTGGACCACAGTAGCCGATTTGCTCAAAGAACAGGCCACCAAAAGGAATATGACAATAAATCACAAGGAAGCGTTTCTAACAAATATGCCGAAATGTTGTGCGCTGGGGTTGCCATGTTGTCGCACAAGTTTTTGGTATCAGGTGAGTGCAAAAGCAATTCGAGAATATACATACTTGGGGCAATGACGTCAATGACGTTCGGTTTGTTTGAGGTTAAACAAATAAAAGTTTGGAGTTTTTCGAAGTTTTCAAAGCTTTCTCCAGTTTAAGGGAAACCACTAAACAATTTTGAAACTATATCCCAGATTATTTGAGCATAAACTGGATCATATTTGATTCCATTAAATTAATCTTTGGCGCTAAAACGTTTTCTACGTTTTTGGCCGAGCTTCTCCTCCAATTCGTGGTCTACTTCTTGATGTTGTGAAACAAATGGATCAAAGATCAACACCTTTACTCCACCTCCGAAAAAGCGTTTTTATAGCAGAAGTACACTCTGAGGTTTGCCATTGTCTGTCTGCTGAAGGGCGACCGCCTTTTTGATGTTGCAGGGACCAGAAATAGAATCATGGACCTCCCAAGTGGCAGTAGGCACCTCTAAACACTTGGCTACTGCGGCAAGACCTCTACTCAAAACTGAAAGAGGTCAGAAAAGATGCACTAAAGTACTTATTAAACCAAATAGTACCAAAATTGAATTTTTCACTGATTTTCATTTGTTTTACTTTTAATCTAGAAAGAACTTTGTACTTATTTCGCTATGCTCTTTTCCAAATAAAAGCTTAATAATAGTTTTATGGACATTTTCACTGTATGAAAACTATGTAAATAATGCCGGTGTTTTCTTAACTTCAAAACCATGAACTGTTTTTTTTTTATTGCAATTTTTCGAATAACTCGAAAACCGGTTTTCGGAAAAAGTCGAATAATCGAACACCCTAGTGTGTATGTAGGTATGTTCATCGAGTGTTATTCAATAACTACATTTTTTAGCGCTGCATATGCAGAGAATCCACTTCTCTTTTAATTAACTTAAACTTTCTGTCTACCAAAGCTGTATCGTGTTCTCTATTATCTTAATTGGAGATATGTAGTTCAGCAAAAGTGTTTATGTTTAAATATGCTAAACCTGAACGGCAACAAGCAATTTTATTAATTAACTGCTTTCCTATTCACTATTGGTGGGCCCTTAAAAACTTTCTACATAAAAGCTGGCAGTCAAAATTTTAAGTACCATAAAATTTTACTATCGCATCTTCAACTTTGCTCATTTTCATTAATTTCCCTCATTCTTATTTGCAGACTGTACAAAATACAATGAATCGCACCCGCATCTATGTATTCCTTGGTTCGGCGAGTTCTCTGGTCGATTTTATGCTTTCCATGGAAACGAGCAATTTGTTCCTTAAAGGTGAATACATGGTCATCTTTGTCGATATGATGCCCTATACACCAAAGTAAGTACTGTTGCACAGACGCAAGCACACACCCATACACATACACAGGCATACATTTGCAGCATTATTGAAAGTCACTCATTGTGTGCCTTACAAACGCACTGACACTGTGTAAGCCTTCCAACATATATACTTTGCAATAGCATATCAACCATTTCACTATTTAATTGCAATTCTTTATTTGCGAGTAAATACATATACCGTTAATTGTGCACTATTTGCAATCTTACCTTTATTTGTTTCTTTTTTCCATTAATTTCATTGCGCCTCTGCCAACAAAACTCGCCCACTAAACTCAAAAAAAAAAAAAAA